ATGAAAAATCGGTACAGACGAACACACAGACACACAGACGCACAGACACATAGACACACAGACACATACACACACAAGCAACCTCTCGTCAATATGCGTTTTCAGCATTGCATAGCTGCAAAAAGCGCATAAAAATGATAATCCGCTTATTTATCGGAAAAAGTCTGCCTCTACTTTAGCACGGATGATGTTCTGACTACCAAAAATTAATCATTAACAAGGATTTCATTCTGGACCACCCAGGACTGTTCAAAAAGAATATTGTATTTATATCAGGTTTTTTGAGGTTTGTGTAAACCACACGTTGTTGAGACATTGTCCGTGTGTGTATCTGTATGTGTAGTGTTTGTGCATTTGTGTATGTGTGTGTGTGTAGTGTTTGTGCATGTGTGTGTGTGTGTCTTCGGATATCTATCGAAATTTTTTGGCTCAGAAGACGGAAGAGCTAAGGAGCTGAAATTTTATGAAAATTTTTTCGCTCATACACGAGAAATTTAAGTTTCTTTTCAGCTCAGACCTGATTCTCACAGATGGACAAGTAAAATTACGCATGAGGAATTTTTCAGTATGGGAATTCTTCACCTCAGACCTTGTTCTCACAGATGGACACATAAGAAATTTGCCAGCTTGGGGACCAAACAAGACTGAAAGCTCAAATTTTTGGGGTATATTTTTGTGTGAAAAATTAAATTTAGTTCCACCAATGTCCACGTATCGTTTGGGCACATTAAAATCTAAGCTTTTTAGCGGCAATCTGATGCTCACCGCCATTCAGTGCTGTTGGTTGAATTGCCTGTGTGTTTTCTGTTGTATCCGGTGTGGTATACGTTTGCTTCGAAACTATTAGTTTGCGACTGAAATGAGTTATCGAAATGGGGGAGGGGGAGGGGGGGGGAGGGGGAAGGAAGACTGGCTTCTTACGGCAGCAAGCTTAGAGCCAAAAAAGACTAACAATTTCCATCAGTAAGAAACACTGTTACACACTGCTCATTTTAGATGCAAAAATGTCAGAGTTTAAAGCAAAATGTGACGAAGTCTGTTAAAAAATCAAAAAAACTACTTACTAGTCCTCAAAAGATTTTTTGAAGAAAATTTCTTTAAGCAGAAAACGTTTTAACCTTCTGGCAGTGAAGAGCCAAACAAAACGTAGGAACGGATGTTTGCATGGAGTAGCCAACAACACAATAATATGGCATGCTCTTCTTCATCACCACAACCAATCGACAAAAACTTAAAAAAAAAAAATCAAATAATGTCGCATAAAAGTTTGAAATACTTTGCTTAGTTGTTATTTCATCGCCCCTTTTCATCACTGATGCAACTGGCAACTTCTCAATCCTTCTCTATTTTGGACTTCTTTCAGTCACATAATTCCATATAGCCGTCCAGTTGGCCTTACGAGTCTTTGCCATGTTCTTTTGACATTGCATGATGATTTACTGCGATTCAAAGCTGCACAGCTGGAACTTGGTGTTTTT